CCTGCCCCCTCTCCCTACAGTGTTCTTCGCCAAGTCAAAAACAAAAACAAAATCCCTACATGGCCTCCAAGCCCCAAGCATTTCTCCCAAGAATGTTCTGCTCTGGAATAGAAGGGGCTACTGGGGCGTGCTGGAGGCTCCCTGGTGGGTTGCAGCTTTGTGGGAGGAGCGCTGCTTAACTGGGTTTTCTGGTACTAAATCAGAGCCGGACTTTTTTCCAGCATACCTCTTCCCTCCTTAAAGCAGTAAGGAGTTCTTCTCTCTTGAGTTCTTCTGGACATATTTGGGAAAGTAACATGTTCAGAGATAGCCCCTCAGTGGTGTTCCCCACACTGCTTCCATGGACCCTTTTGCTGATCCACCCTGGAGATAATTGTTCCTGTTTGAGTATCCACCCATCCCCACTGATGCCTCCTTCCAACGACCTTTTCTCCCTGTTCTTGGAACTTAAAGAAGGCGGCAGAGGTTTGGTGGTTGACTTTTCATGAAAGAATTGTCTGAAATGTCTTCAGGTTGCAGTTGGTAGGGATGGAGAGGTACCCCAGGCAGCAAGAGGGTGCTCTGAGGAATGGTACACCCCAGCCATTCCGGCCCTTGGCTATTCCCACACCAGCCTGTGTTCCTGCTTTCCCCTGGCCTTTTGCCTACCCGAAGAGGAAGATGTCAGTGGGTCTACTCTGTTAGTGTTCACTCGCTATATTATTCTGTTAGACTTTTTTGGTCCCATATTAGGAATCCTTCTCATGGTAGATTCTGGGTCACTAATCTTAGTGTCTTTGTTGAAATCCCCTGGGCCATTATATGAGTTCTTCTACCCTGTCATTCTGTTCTCTTCTATCATTCCAGCTATTCAAGGGTCTGTGCTACACATTTTGTCAGTTTTGCAGTAAGCTTTGATGGCGGAGTAGATATTACATGTAACTCTCCTTTTTAAGAATATTTTTGACTTTTTAAAATATTAAACTTACAATTTTTGTAATTCCAAAAACAAATCTTCTGGAATTTGAATAGAATTATTTTAAATATATTAGATCAGAGAGACCTAATTATACTTACAAAATTGACTTTCCTATCTAGGAACATGATGTTTCTCATTTATCCTATTCGTCTTTTATTACTTTCAAGAAAATTTCATCACTTTCTTGCTGTAGCCTTTACCCTGTAATGATATTTCAAGAAGTTTGGAGTTTCGTTTCCTTGTTTGGGTCTTGTTTTGGGATGTGTATCTATCAAACGTAAAATGACTTTTCTGCCTAGAAACCTTGCCACTTCGTTCCAACCCGTTACCTCTTCCTCATCACATTTCACCACCACCTCCTAGATGCCTTCAGAGAGGGGTATTTGTGTGTCTTCACTAGGACCACTCTGCCTTCTCTGACTCCTGCTTTATATCCCCTTTCTTTGACCAATTTCCTAATTTTCCAATTGTATGTAAACTATGGACAATCGCCACTTTCTGACCAAAGAAATATACAATAAGGAAAAGGGTATCTGAGAAAGACTTGGTAAATGTAGAATGGAGGGTTGGGGAGAGAAGAGTCTGGAAGTGGGCATGATGGACTGGTGTGAAACTGAGTGCTGGGAGTCAGGCTCAGGTGGAGGTGGCAGGTATGGAGGAGGAGGAATAGGCATGGCAGGTTTTATGGAAAAAGGGTGGGCAGTACTTCCACTGTTGTGGGACCATGTGGAGGATATAGTGAAGCTCATGATTGTAGATCTGGGGCTTGATCCCAAAGGACAATCAAAATGAATCAGAACTGATGACTGATCATCCTTGGACATGGTCATGGGCTCCAAAGCTTAGAGAGCTTTGGCTTGCTCTTGCAGATGTGACTCTGGTTCTTATGGGAGGGAAGGAGATGAGGAGACAGTCCCATCTGACCCGCTCCCTCATCTTGGGCAGAATTGACCAGAAGACGCACAGAAGACACACTTGGTGTTCAGCAACACCAAGTAGAGCTTTACTTTAATTATCAAGAGTGGCATTTAAAACGCCTCTTGCTACAATCCAGAAATTGAATAATTCAATTCCAGGTGTTCCTTCTTACCTTTCCTTCATGCCTGGTAGATGTGCTCTGTGGGGACAGCTCTCCCTGTTGTCTCAGCTTGTTCAGTAGTTAATAGTGAAGTGTGTGGACATGTCCATCTCTGTAAACTGAGTCCTACTGAGATTGGAACAAGATCATGTCAGCTTCAGAGCCACTATGGAGGTTTTGTGTTTGACATAAATGGACATCGGCTACCAGGAAAGAAGCTGAAACCTGAGTGGTGGTGCTTTTCCAAACTGTTTGTGGGCAGCTGTTCATGGTGGGGCTGTGTCTCCCCAGAGGGAAGCATCCTTTCCTCATTTGTACAGAGGCTCCAGCTGGCCTAGCTGGGCTTGCACATGTATCACTCCAGGATCCTTGAGTGTCAAGGACAATATGGATGAGAGGCTGAGGACTGACAGTTCCCAGATTATCCTTGCTGCATGACCATTACTTTGTTCCTTATGCTCATAAGACGTTCTAGGGACAAAGAAGAGAAAGGATAAAGGCCTAGCTTGTTGGATCTGTCCATTTTTAATTAGGAAATCAAAAAACCAGAACTAAGTCACAGGGCCAGATTCAGGTACAAAGAGGGTTTTTGTTTTGTTTTGTTTTTTAAATGGACGTATTGCCAGCTAAAGAAGAAATGAGAGTCCTGGTGGTGATCAGGCAGGAGAGAACAGATGCTGAGTAGGTGCTCTGCAGAGCCTGGAGAGGAGGCACCCCAGTGCTTTATCACAGGTTATAACATCTCCTCCTCACTGCCCATATTCTGCATTTTGCAAAAACTTTGTCATTCCTTCTTAGTGTTCCACATAAAACATACTATTTTAAATTAGATTTCAAGACTAAATTCAGAATTTTTGGTTTATTTGGCTAAATATATAAAAGACAAAGCCTGCCTTGCAGAAGGGGAAGCATCTATGCCACATGTCTCTGGGAGCCCCTGTTCAAAGCCAGTGACCACACCCGCAGGAATTGCCCCTCCTGGCCACCAGGCCCCCAAACAGCTGGGATGTCTTCAGTTGTTTTCTTCATGAAGAAATTTGAGTTTATTCCCAAATGCATATTTAAGGATCTAAAATAGAATGTGAGCAATTAAGTTTGGAGGGCCCAGGAGAACTTTAGTGGGGCTTCAATCTGGTTCTCCTTGGTGACTTCCATGTCTAGTGTTGCCTCAGGCCAGCTTGCCAGATGGCTCAGCTGCTCCCAGGCCTCATTTTCTGCTTCAAAGGAAAGGGTGAGAGTGAGAGTGGTTAGGAAGCACCGTAAGCCAGCGAGGGCTGGCTGTAGAGTGTAGTCAGAGTCCCTTGGCCGGCCCCTGAGGTCTTCAGGGATATGGCCCCATCAACCTCCAGCCTCATTCCTGGCAGGTCCCAACAACCTAGGCAAAGATACTGCCCATCTCCTTATCCTTTGGACCCAGGATAGATCCCAGGTGTTCTTTAGGGCGGAGCTCCAGTGAGTTGTAGCTGCCTCACAGTGGAGCCCCCTTGCAGTGAACACATTTTGTCTCTGTGCTGTGTGTCTTCCTTCAGGGGAACCTGCTTACTCATTTCCCGTTACTCAGGGCATGCATCAGAATGCTCATCCTCCCAGCTGTGTGCGCCTCAAAGGAAACATGGGCAAGAGCAGATGTGCTGGGCCAGGTCTCCTTTCACTTAACAACTCCCTTGTCACCTACAGTTCCTTAAAATTGAAGGGGAAAGTTTTGGGGGAGGAGGGAGTGTTGTGGTTTGTGGTCACAACTCTGGGTCATGAAACATGTTGGCTCAGCACCTCGCACACCTTCATTTGCTAGGGCTACCATAATAAAATGCCACAGACAAAACAAGCATTTATTGCTTATAGTTCTGGATGCTGGCAAGTCCAAAATCAAGGTGCTGGCCAAGTTGGTTCCTGCTGAAGGTTCTCTTCCTGGCTTTCAGATGGCTACCTTCTTGCCATTTGGTATAAGGAGAGAGCTACCTGTTTTTGTTTGTTTTCTTATAAGAATACTAATCCTATCAGGTGGACCCACCCTTGTGACTTCACCTAAACCTAATTACTTCCTAAGGCCCCACCTCCAAGTACCCTCACATGGGGAGTTAGGGCTTCAAGATAAATTTTGGGTGAGGGAGCATGCAGACATTCAGTCTGTATGCTAGCCCTGGGCTGCCTACAGGGATGAGAGGGGCCTAGGGCCTGCCTCCAAGGGGGACCCAGGCCAGCGGGGACACCATGCACAGGGTTCTATGAGGATGTCAGGATACTTCTAGTTCCCTGTTCTCTTCCCCAGCCTGAGCCTGCCTGTACCTCTTTCTTCTTCATCAGCACGTGGCTTGCCATCTCTCTCCTGTAGTGGGCCCTCTTCATCCACCCAGTGGGCAGCTGCACAAATGACTAAGTGTGGCAAGAAAGGCACAGGTGACCTGATAGAAAGGACACGGGACATTTGAAATGGGCAGGTGGACCCTGAGGCAATGCAGCCAGAGATCTTGGTGTGTGTGTGGGGGGGTTCCTGTCCTCTCAACCTGTGCACTCACTTCTCCATGCACACACCAACCAAGACACAAGTTGACACCTTACAGCCCACAGGAAAGGGACTCTGAAAGATTTTACTATTGTTTTCACTGCTTCTGTGAAAAAAACAAAAACAAAACCACAGGTTATAGCTGTCTCACAGTTGAAAAAAAAAATTTTTTTTTTCCTTGCAAAATATCACATTTTCTCCCAATTGAAGGAAAATCTATTTTATTTTGTAATGTGTCTGACTCACAAAGTTCCATTGCTGACCCAAGTTTGGCAGTGTCTCAGAGCCCAATCCTTGATATCTCCCTTCTGGACTGAGCAGTAGCCAGTCCTCGCCTGAGCTGCAATTGGGGCCATTTGTTTTCATTTCTGAGTAAGTGGTGAGTTTTCTTTTAATACTGAAACACAGAAAGGACCCATGGTGATGCATTAATCTTGGATTTTCCTTGTTTTATCACCAAGAAAACTGCTGCAGATGGAAAAAGGCAGGAGATCATCGTTCTAGATTCCAAGAGGAGCAATGCCATCAATATTGGTCTTACGGTCCTGCCCCCTCCAAGAACGATTAAGATAGCCATTTTGAATTTTGATGAATATGCCTTAAACAAAGAAGGAATTGAGGTAAGAGAAGCTGTCAAACATTGTTTCTGTTCTGAAATTTATCACATGCATAAAATGTACTTATTATTTCATCCAAAGTGACTTTCCTCATAGGCTGGCTTGCCGTTTTTTCTGTCCTCAAGAAGATTCTGAATAATAATTTTTTTCATATTTACTCCACAGAGAGGCAAGCCTCATTTGCCTATGAAGTTCAAAGACCCTCCTTCTGCAGTTCTTGTACTGACCTCCCTCTGATCACACACGCTCTGCCTATCTCAAAATGGAAATAGACTGTCAGAACCTCCTTAGGAGGCTGCTAGGTGGTTCTTTCATGTCATTTTACATCAAATATGTTTAGCAAACAATTTCAAAGATAAGGTTTTCAATATGTGATCACATCTGTGTAAAGGACTTCGTTTCTGTCTTCGCGCTTGTTGGGATATACAGAGAGATGTCTTGTTAAATAACTGGAAGAACTAAACCAGTTGAGGCTGTAGCCCTTGTTGATCTGAATGTCAAAAATGGAGAGAGATTAGGTGACATGTCTGTGGCTGGTAGGTGGCCCAGCTGAAGCCATGGTTCACCTGCTGTGCCAATGTTCATGTTCTTCCACCAGGCCATCATCTTCACCATGGTGCCAGTTTGTAGCAAGTGAAATCTCTTACTCTAATAATGAAATGACAGGTGGAGCTAATGGCCATCCCAGAGTCCCCTATAGGGGTGTTGTAGTCTTAGGAGCCACTTCATCAAAAGTGGGAGGTTCTAGGAACATTACTTTGTGACATTGAGTGACACCCAACCCATCCTCCCATTGACCAGGAGCTCTGGACTCCTTTAAAGCCTCTCCATGATTGGGTTCATTCATGCACAGTCTCATTTGAGCATGGAGGGAACCAGTGAAATCTGACCCCAAAGAGGGGGAGTCGGTTTTTGCCAAAAATGTGAGGAAGGGTTGGGTCACAGTGCCAAACTTGCCCACAGCCCTGGGTTGAGAGGCAGCGATGGGCACACAGTCTGGACCCTGTGGGCCCTGTGTGCCTTTGTGCTTTGAAAAGTAGAGGCTTTCAGAAGAAAACTTGCTAAGAGGCCTATGTGGGGTCCACTTGTGTCCTCCAGAATTCATGCTCTCCCAGAAGAGAGCATGAGTTTTGGAGGACACAACTGGCCTTCCTTGGAAATGGGTCTCAGGGATATAATCAAGTTAAGGTGAGATCAGACTGGATTAGGATGTGCCCTAAATCAGATGACTGGTGTCCTTACAAGAAAAGGGATGTTGTTGGGACATAGACACAAAGAAGAATGCCATCTGAAGAGAGAATGCACATGTGATGACGGGGGTAGAAATTAGAGCAGTGTGTTCATAAGCCAAGGAATACCAGGCAAACAACAGAACTGCAAAAGAGGCCAGGAGCAGCTCTGCTTCAGAGAGAGCATAGTACTGCTTAGTCCTTGATTTTTGGACGTCTAGCTTCTAGCACTGTGAGAATAAATTTAGTTGTGTCAAGCCACCTAGTTTGTGGTACACTGTTATGGAAGCCCTAGGAATGCATATGAGGCTCAAGCAACTGGAACAGGTACAAGAGGGAAAATGCATTTCCTTCCTGGCTGGACAGGAAGTTGTGCCCTAATCCCTGAAGTCAGGCAGAATATCCAGGTGGGCACAAGGCAGAGCAGGGTAGGGGGATAAAGGAATGAGTTAGATACAGCAGGCAGAGACAGAGATGTTCAGGCAGCAAGCAAGAATGGTCAGGCTCAGCCTCTGTGTGAGGCATCCTCACTCTGGGGTCCTCCAGACTGGTAAGGAAGAAGGCTGTGGCCTACCATTCTGTGAACTTGGATGAACCAAGTGTGAAGTGGTTTTGAGAAGCAAGTTATAGGCTCTCTCAGATCGTCCTGTTTACAAGGTCCTTTAGAGCTTGCAAATGCTTCAGTTCATACATGGAGAGGTTTCACATACAGCCAGAGCCAGCCCAATGAAAGGAAAAAAAAAATGACAATTTCTCCTTTTAAAGATCCTTCCCCTCCTCATCAGGAAAACTTGAAATTCCATCAGAATTTGAGTTTTGCCTTTGTTTTTTTCCTGAAATACAGCTCTCCCTGGGCTGGGAAAGTTTCAGATAATAAATTACTCTGATTTTAGAATGAACCAATTACTCTTTTTCCCTGTCTGAGCGATTGTAAGTTGAGCACCCTTTTGATCCATTAAGGAATGTAAGAGTAATAACGATGCTGATGGCTATAGGAATAAACACAGCACTAGTCTGGCTTTCATGGGTTTCTTACTGTGGACTGGGCACCCTATAGGTGTTTTATAGCACCTATAGGTACACACTGCTGTGCTTAACCTTAAAAATGAACCAAGTGAGTCCCAGCATCAGTCTGTGCCAAACTCACAGAAACAGGAGATTGTGCAGAATATGAGCCCTGAAGCCTGAGTTCAGGGTGCAGGGCTTGGAAGCATATGGCCCAGGAGTCCCTCTCAGGCCTGGGCTATGTGACCCTAGAATGGGAGGGAATCTGAAAAGGGGTGAGAAGCACACAGGAGCCAGCCCAGAGCCCCTCACAGCACTGCCAATGGCCTTTCACCCAGGAATAGCTGGTGGGCAGATAGTTTGAAGTGAGAGAAAACAGCTGCAGAAAATACCAGTAAATCCTCACTGAGGTTTTATTGTGTCATAAGTCCTCAGTAAACTCATTGAGTCACAGTAGCACTTGGAGTTACAACATTTTGATCAGTTTTCCTCTAAAGCAAGTTTCCGCACACAACACTATTGCCATTTGGAGTTGGACAGTCTTTGTTGTGGGGCTGTCCTGAGCCTTGAAGGATGTTTAGTAGCATCTGCCTACCTGAACCTTGACCCATAGCCCCAAATCACTCCAGACATTGTTTTACGTTTCCTGGGAGTAGAATCACCCAGGCTGAGAATCACTGATCTAAAGACTTCCTGTGTGAATCCAGGGACTGTGTATATCCCTCAGCAATTCCCAGCATGGCTGGGAAGACTCCAATGGAAAAAAGTACTCTTGAAAGTGTAGACTCCAGGCACTCTGACATCATCTTCTATCTCTGGCCATTGATCTCAAGGGACCAGGAAGGCATATAAGAAAGATCTAGATCCATGTGCTGGGCAGTACCCAGAGCTGATTTAGTAGGTTTGTTGTTCAAGAATTAAATTGAAACTGAGATGGCAGCTGTGAACTTACAGATCTTTGCTAATAAGATTTCCAGCTAATGCCCAAAGAGCCTTTCGCCAAACCGTCTGCTTCTTGAACACATGTACCGTGGCCTGGCACCGTGGCTTAATAGGGCCATTTGAAAGTTCTGTATACCTAAATGTAATTAGGATGTATTAAATGATATCCTGTGGCTTTGCTTAGCAACCAGTGGTATGTATCTGGGTTTATGATGCAAACCTAAGGGAGCAGTTAACTTCATTAAGGAAGTAGTATTTATGAAGAATATTAAATTTGAGAAAATCATTTTAGGGCCATCTCTAAGTAGCATAATGATATTTTCCAAAGTAAGATGTCATCAAATTATCACAAATGGAAGTATGAGGAGTCCTCCTTTTTATTTTTTTTCCCTTTTTTAATTTTTAGAGTTGGTCTACTTAGAGGGCAGCACATTTGAATGGTCCCAAATGAAGTCTGACTTGGCTCAGTTTGGTTGTGAGGCCTGACAATATCCTGGTAACAGACATTTCCTTCAGCCATTTAGGCAAAGCTACAGCATCTCTCTAAATAGTTGGTGTTATATGAGGCCTGTCTCTAGGTGGCCAACTGGGTGATGGACATACTCAATTGAGCCTGCCCGTGGAGAGTTATTGTTGGCTTAGTAGGACCAGGGAACCAGGATGCTCTGATCATTGGACACAGCTGTGCTGTTAATTTTGCACTTCCAATCTCCATTAACTATGGAGCTGGTGCTACGAAAGGACACACAGCCCTTAGGTGGGTTTTTAGCTCTGTCTTGGTTGGTCCAGCCTGGTCTCAGGCGAGTCATTTCAACTGTAAGTTTGATGAAATAATTTCTGCCTAATGTGCCTCAAAACGTAGTCACCACGAAGAATCCTGCTTCTGTATACAATTAAAATGCTAATTTAAAAAATAACAGGGAGACCAATTAGAGCAAGGAGACCCAGGGGAGGGAGGAAGAGGAGGGTAGAGAAAGGGAAGGAACTAGAGAATGAGATTGATTGAATTATGTGCATGTATGAATATGCTATAACAAATTCCACTGATATGTATGATTATAATGTACCAATTTTAAAAAGAATGAAAGGTGATACTATCAAGATGCTTTAAGGTTTTCCCCCCTAAGTTGCTATATGAAAATAAGTACATGGAAAGAACATTTTCTCATGAGAATATGAAAATTGTATATAAACCAAGCTCAGCCCTAAATTTTCTGCTGTTATCACCCAAATCCTCATTGTAGATTCTTACTCAAAATTCTAGCCAGGGTTCTGTTCACAATCACAAAGCAAAATAATGACTCATTATGGTCTTACTCCAGGAGAATTAAATGGTCAAACCCAGTACTATGTGGGTTCATAAAAATGGATATTTTTGCACTGCTTTCTCTGAAATATACTTGCTTTTGTATTTGAAAGTCATATCTTGAGAAGCATTAAAGGGATATTGTCAGGAAGATAGCTGAAAATACTGTTATCACATTCAGGTTTTGGTTTTGTTTGATGTTTGTTTACCTGCAATACCAAATGGTAATTGTAAAATCATCAATAAACCCATTGATGTGGTAGAAAAGCAAGTAAAAATGTTAACCTTTTCTTGTTAACCTTTGCTAATGGAAAAAGGGCCATTGGGCTCACAGGAGGTGGCTTTGACTTGCCAATTCCACTGTCTTATGGCTACTCCTATTGTCAGTGATGTGTAACAAAATAAAGCAAAGCAAAGCAAAATGACAGATGGCAACCTCATAAGTCTTCAACAGTGAACAAATGGTTTGAATTAGAGGAGTGAAAAACAAAAGTAAAAATGTTTGACTTTCTCAAAGGAACAAAGCAACCAAATTGTTGCAGGAAAAGGCCTTCTGAAGGTTATAAAAGGTGTTGGCAATTTTTTGTTTTGGAATGCTTGTCATGCCTAAAACAATTTAAGCATTAAGGAAATTAAAATACAAACTTTAGTTTTTATTTTGAAAACTAATTTGGTTCAAATCATGGATTAAGAGGCGATATCTACTGGAATTGTTTATTTTTTAATGCCATCTGTGTGGACGGTGGGCCATGAGCCAGGCAGTGAGCGAGCAAGAAGCCCTGTAACTAAGTAGTTCTCCTGATGCTCAAATTCCACCCACATAGCCTCAGTATTTGGAGTCATAATGAAGAGCAAGTTGGAAGGGACATATCCGAGGGCCCACCACTTGTCGCCTTCTGTAGCCTCACTCTGTGGCTCAGAGTACACGTCTTCGAAGTAGTTTTACATCACTAGCTTTTGATAGGGACACCCAGCGTGTTAACAGTCTCATCAAACTCAAACTGCTTCTATCGTACCCAGATAAATCCTGAGGCACAATAATATAAACACCCATGTATTTGGGGACTGGTTCCATTTTATTTTGTTATTAAGTTTTTCATTTTGGGGGGCTAATATAGAATAAAATTGACCTTTTTTTTTGGATGGACAGTTCTAGGAGTTTTAAATCATGTGTAAATTCATGCAGTGACCACTGCAAGCAGGATTTAAAGCAATCCCAACTCCCCATACAGCTCTTCTCTGATTGTATATTTACTCCCACCTTCAGCCCCTGGGAACAAGCGGTGCAAATACATCACTGTGGTTTTGTCTTTTGGAAATTGTCATGTAAATGGAATCATATCGTGTATAACCTTTGAGTTTGGCTTCTCTCACTGAGCATGATGTCTTTGAGTCATCCACATCATTGTATGTACATAGCCCCCTCCATCCCCCAATTGAACCCAGGGGTGCTGACCAATGAACTACATCCCCAACCCTATATATGTATGTGTGTGTCCGTCTAGGACAGGGTCTGGCTAAATTTGCTGAGGCTGCCCTTGAACTTGTGATCCTCGTGCCTCCCCTTCCTGAGTAGTTGGGATTTTAGGAGTGTGCTGCTTGTTCCTGGCTATAGTTTATTCCTTTTATGGTCCAGTACTATTCTATTGTAGGGATGTCCCATAATTTGTTCATTTACTGAAGAATATCTAACTTGAGCCCGGTTGTGTCAGTTATGAATAAAGTTAACACAAATGTTCACGTACAAGTTTTTGTGTGAACTTAAGTCTTTGTTCTAGAGCAAATACCCAGGAATATAATTGCAGGGTTATAAGGTAACCTCTGTGTTTAACTTCTTGATAAACTACAGTTTTTTCCACTCTATTAATAGTGTCTTTGACAGCAAAAATTTTTAATTTGGATGGATGAAGTTCAGTTCATCAGTCTGTTCATTTTGGTATCATGTCTAAGAATTTTTCCCTCACATGGGTCACAAATACTCTCCATTTTTCCTTTTTCTAAAAGATTATGCTATAACGTTTTACTTTTAGATCCTTACAATTTTCTATGTAATCATGTCATCTGCAAATAGAAATGACTTTACCTTTATGACACTGTGATTATCTGTGTACAATATTAAATAGTAATGGTAAGAGTAGATGGAAATTTTTATTTTTTAAAAAAATATAATCAATATGAAATTTGAACTAAGAAGAATCATAATCATTCTGGTGTCTTTTTGCCTTCACCTTTCTCAACTGATTTTTTTTTCAGAAAATAAAAATAAACAAGTACATTGTTTTTTATTAATAGATAGGTTTATAAATACCATTTTCATTTTTCTTCAGATTTGAGTTTGATATTGAAGTATTATCACTTCTAAGTTTTTAAACAGTTAAATATTTAATGTCACATGAACCAAAAGTCAATCTGAGTTCTTTGATTCATTTTTTTAGTTCTTAAGTTAATCCATGAAAAGTGATAGAGCATGTATTATTGACCTGTTTCGCTATATTTCCTAGGGAAGACTGAGTTGTTCTCCAATTTTCTTTTTCAATTCTTTTACTTTCATCCCCCTTTTTATTCCTAGAATGTCCTCCTTGTGCAAGATCCAGAAAATTTGGGGCAATTTGCTTAGAGTATGTTTGGTTATGATAATATAACACCCATATGTGACTGAGACACATATACCAGACTCTTTCTACTACCTGGTTGGAAAATTATAAAATTGAATTTGAAAACATCAAAGGGGTGTGGTAGGATCCATTACTGCGAATATTTTCTATCATCCCATTTTTTCCAGAAAATTCTAACCATGATTCCAACTGAAGAGGAGAAGCAGAAAATCCAGGAAGCTCAGCTGGCCAATCCTGAAATGCCCTTGGGCAGTGCCGAGCAGTTCCTCCTCACGCTGTCCTCCATCAGTGAGCTTTCTGCTCGGCTCCACCTCTGGGCGTTCAAAATGGATTATGAAACCACAGAAAAGGTAAGCATTCCATTAAGAGAGGCAGCCAAAACCACATAGGATGGCCCATGTTTTTTTAGTCATGAATATTAAGGTAGCGAAATCTCATTCTTGACGCAGGATTTTCAGGGTGAGTTGAAGATGACATTGTTGTATTATCACTAGCTCTGATGTTACTTGTGTCCATGCTGACTGATCATGAAGGGTTATTCTAAAGTATCTGGCACCAGCCTCAGACACTTGCTTATGAGTTTGTGGTGAGTGATTAAAAATAATTAAAATTTTTTTTTAGATTCTGTATCTTCATTGTAGAAAACTTAGAAAATACAGAAAAATATAGTATATTTCCCGTCATCTATCACCTCATCATTATCACCCAGACTGCCATTGACCATGACAGCAGGTCTCTGGGGGGAATATTCTCAAAGGAAGGTTACAGATTAAGCAGATTACAAGAAGTTGAGAAGAGACTAGAAGGAAAGAGACCTCAACGGGGAGAAGCAAAGGGAGAGACTCCTCCTGAGTAGGGCATGGAAGGCACAGGAATCTCCCTTGGCCTATGTCAGTAGGAGTGTTTTTGCAGGCTGAATGGCAGCCAGTGGAGAGGGGTGGGGGGGAGAGATGGACACCAATTACAGGGAAGCTTAGCTGAGAAAAACCATCTAGAGAAGGAGTCTGAAGCCCAGGTGTAGAGGCTCTGGGTCTTTCTCTTCTGGAAGAGGAGGTGGCATAGTCTTATGCTGAGGGCCAGATGGATGGCAGTGGGTCTAGGCTACTTCAGAAGGGTGCTACAGGTTGAGCATTTCTAATCGGAAATCCCAATGCTCCAAAATCGTAAGCCCTTTGAGTGCCAACGCAATGATGCAAATGGAAAATTCCACACCTGATCCCATGTGATGGGTTGCAGTCCAACCACATCAGGTGCACTAAAAACAGTTTATAAATTACCTTCAGGCTATATGTGAGAGGTATATATGAAACATAAATGAATTTCATATTTAAACTTGGGATCCTATCCCTAATACATATCATTGTATTTATGCAGATACTCCAAAGTCCAAAAAATTATGAAATCCAATAGTGAGCAACCAAGGCTAAGTATGCCTAGAGGGGAATGGAGGAGATAGGTGGTCCAGGAACAGTGGGGCCACAGTCTCTACAGTCATCTGCTTACAAGGAGAAAAGGCAAAGAGCAGGACTATGCTTTCAATGCTGAAGCCTCACAAGGAAGATTCCTTGGGAATCAGCCGTGGTCAGAGGAGAGTGAGAGGATGGGATGACCTAAGGGTCCTGCTTGGGCTTAAACTTGGGTAGAGACAGGGAAGACACGGCATGTGTGACCCAGCATGAATTCCATTTGGTCTCCACTGTGGAATTGATGGGGAATAGGTTCTCCCTGCTGCTGTTCAGCACTTTGTCATACCTAGGAGCAAATGTCCCACGGGGGAGACTGCCCCATGCTAGAGAGAACCCTGCTTATTGTTCCTTACACCAAATGAAAAAAAGTAGCCAAATTGTCCATCCTTTTTCACTTTCTGTTTTGTTTTTTTAAAAAAACTGAAAGGAAGTGGCAGAACCACTTTTGGACCTGAAGGAAGGAATAGACCAGTTGGAGAACAATAAAACCTTGGGCTTTATCCTGTCTACTCTCCTCGCTATTGGGAACTTTCTAAATGGAACTAATGTAAGTTGTCCCTGTGCCTTATCCTCCTGCCTCTCGTGTCACAAAATCCCTGCCCACCGTTTGTTGATGAAGGTTGTACCTCTGGTCCCCTAAAGCACAGTAGAATAAACAACTTGTGTAACTTTTTTTTTGAGAGAGATAATTTTTAATATTTATTTTTTAGTTTTTTGCGGACACATCTTTATTTTTTATGTGGTGCAGAGAATCAAGCCCAGCACCCCACGCATGCCAGGCAAGCACATTACCGCTTGAGCTACATCCCCAGCTCAACTTGTGTAACTTTTTTGATGAAATCTAGACGTGGTTTTTGTCTTCAAAATATTAGAGACCATTTACTTGAACTTGAACCCTGCCACAAGAAAGCTTAAAAAAGTAAGCGCACTATTCCTTACAGAGTGTGGCTACTCTCAAAATTGACTTGGAAAATTTTCATGTACCCTGTTCTTTTTTCTCTTGACCTTCGCTCTCAACTATTCTGATTTTTATGATTAACTTGTCATTTTTTATTTTTTAATTGGTGCATTATAATTCACATAATGCTGGGGAGTTATTATGCCATATTTACACATGAACATTAACATAATTTGATTAAACTCATTTCCCAGTAACTTCTTTCCCTTCTCCCCTCCTGCCTCCCTTCTCCAATCCACTTGCTCTACTCAACTGATCATATTGTGTAGACGTCACTGTGGCATATTGGTATGTGGACATGGCATAATTTGGTAGATTGCATTTGGCTCTGGCCAGGAAGTAGGCATGCAGCCGGAGGGGAGAAAGAAGTTATACTTATGCAGGTGTCCGAGGCGGAGTCCCATAGCACCCTGATTGAGGGCTGAGTCCTGGGGACCTGTCTCTGGGCTGTGGTAGCAAAGGGCTGGAGGTCCAGGTCATTTCTGCTGTGTCTGGTCCACGTGTGATCAGCAAAGGATGGAGTGCATGGCCTGAGAAGCCCGAGTCACACAGAAACTAAATATTGGCTACTGCAGCTGCGCATTGATTCTAACCATCTGTGCTATTCTAAGAGCCTACATAAAACTTGTTTTTCTCATCTTTAATGTCACAAAACAGGCCAAAGCGTTTGAGTTAAGCTACCTCGAGAAGGTTCCAGAAGTGAAAGACACAGTGCACAAGCAGTCGCTTCTCCACCACGTGTGCACCATGGTGGTGGAAAACTTCCCAGACAGTTCCGATCTGTATTCAGAGATTGGGGCCATCACCAGGTCAGCCAAGGTACGTCAGTGAACACGGAGGAGCTGGCCTCACCTTGGCCTCCGCTTGTTGGATTCTCAAACCCTCTTCTTAGACACACACATGCTCTAATAAATATGACCCACAGCGCCGCCTGCATTCCCTGCTCTAGAGTCCGTGGATAGGATTCATTTCATGCCTTTTTCTAATGAACTTTTAAGATCTTTTTCCTATCTCTGGTTCTCAGATTCTTTCCTACTGAGGTATGTGAGGCTAGTCTGCCATCCCAGTCCTCACTCCTTGGGAGTGTTACTCACCAGGCTGGATTCTCCAGAACATTCCAACTGCACAGCCTGTTTTAGGTGGGCCAACAGGTCAAAAGAATGCCATCTGGCTCTTGAGATGTCCATACAATGTCACTGTGAGGTGTGGAGCTGCAGGGCATGCCTGGCCTGGCTCTGCTGCCCACAGATTGGCCATCCGTACAGTCTTACAGGGAACGTTTTTATAGGGCTGTAAACAGTATATAGCATTGGCCCCTCGGCTGCAAGCTCTTAAAGTGAGTGCAGAGTTAATCTCTTCATGAGCATATGGTTTATTAGAAAAGAGACAGTCACAATATGTGGACCCCAGCTGCCTCCAGTGGAGGAGTATCGCTGAGACTGAACAATGCCCAGAGGAATCTCAGACACACCAGAATTGGGAACGAGGAGAATGTGGGAGCACCCTTGAAGAGGGCACAGGAGCCAGGCCTGTGTGCAGGCACCTCCTGGGAACACAGCAGCTACAAGTGCTGGGACACACCAGAGCCCAGGGTAGGAAGAGGGGACAGAACAGAGGACTGAGTGGGCGAGGAACAGAAGGAGAGCTGCGACGGTCCTGTTCCAGGAGCTTGCTCACTCCCTGCATTCTCCCACAGGACTGACTGGTGGGGACCTGGTGGCTGGGGGCCCTCCTCCACCTCTCAGGAGTCACAGGCTGGTAGCCACAGGCACACCAATCAGGGGCCCTTCAGCTGGCCTCATGGTGTACCTACTACCTTGAGGCAAAAAGAGGCATGGAGAGCTGACAGGGCTTCACAGAACAGAGTCCCTTATTTAACAGGCACTGTTCTGCCATCTTTGCAATTATGACCTCAATTTCCTGACTAAGGAAGAAAACCCCTCTAAGAGTCTACGCAGAGGGTCCTCCAGTGGCTGCTCCAACACTCTGTGAGCACCTTCTCAGAAGACGGGTTTTTTAAGAATTTGAGGCATCTGCCTGTCTAGATCCCCTCCATCTGGGTCCCGGTTCCAGAGAGACCAGAGCAAATTGTTTCCCTCTTTTCGTGCCCTGTGGTTTTGCCCAGGGCTTCACCAGCTAGAATTTGCTTGGAACAAAAGTGGCCCTGGCCTAGGAATCCCAATACTAGAACAACCCCAGTGACTGTCCTGGGCCCCTTCAGTATCAGGCCTTTCCCAGAAGCCTATTGGATGTTTAGTTGTCAGCTAACTAATAGCTGCATAACTAGCCTTAAGATTGGCCACAAAGCCAACACTTCAAATAGCTTCTACCCCCTGACTTCAGCAACCACTAAATGACTCTTGATCCAGATGCTTGTGATTTGCCATAGGAGGCCAAGAGGGCATCAACCACCTCTTCTTAGACTTCATTCCCAGAGCCTTTTTGGCTGTAGAGAATCAAGAAATTCAGACCATGCAAAGTCCTGCCTGGGAGGGGGGCGACTTCCTCCTGCTGAGACAAGATCTTCTCACAGAATCTGCCTTTGTTGTCTTTAGCCCCTCCCATGTCCTTCTGAGGGTGAGGCTTTTACTCTGAGATCACATGAGCGAGTCCTTACTGGGCATCCTCCAGGACCTGCTTGTATAACCACTGTCATTGGTACCTGAGCAGAGGCTGCTTGCTCTGTGTGTCATTTTCTCCTTCTGGATTTTTAGACCACATTTATCACTCACTGTTCACCTCACGCCCCTTCTTTCAGCCCACCCATTTCTTTATCCCCTCCATCCCTCTGAATTACTCCCCCCAACCTTGGGTACTCAGGGGCACTCAACCCCTGAGCCACATCCCCAGCCACACACCCCCCCTTTTTTTTTTTTTTTTTTTGAGACAGAGTCTTGCTAAGTTGCTTAGGGCCTCACTAAGTTGCTGTGGCTGGCCTCGAACTTGCAATCTTCCTGTCTCAGCCTGTCCAGTTGCTGGCATTACAGGCATATGCCACCATGTCTGGTCTCTCATTTTTCCATCTCACATCTCCCTCTATTAAATGTAGCCCTCAAGTGTGTTGTTTTAATATTTATTTTTTAGTTGTAGTTGGACACAATACCTTAATTTTTACATGGCGCTGAGGATCGAACTCAGGACCTCGCATGCTCTAGGCGAGTGCTATACCACTGAGCCACGACTCCTGCCCCTCAAGTGTGTGTTTTTTTTTTTTAATTACTAAATAACCCTCTGATTCTCATAATTTTTGCTCTAGAGATTCTGTAAAAGCATTACTTTAGAAAGTCTCATTTTGGGCCACTTCAGTCAATGCAAACTGTTGGCACTTCCCTGAGTACACAGCAGGAGCTCTGCCACATCTCTTCTTTGTGTAGGTGGTTTGCATTTGTTGTTGACATCTCTGGTGGGTGCTGTACCCCTTCAGCTCTTGGTGATCACCTGTCTATACCATGAGGCTCCTTGAGAACAATGATTTGGTTTCATTTAGCATTTGTCTTCGTCATCTTAGTGCCTGGTTAGGGGGGCCACTGTGTACCTGTTGCTCCATGAATGTTTGTTGAATGTATGAATGGGGGATGAGTAAAATAGTTTGTCACACAAACTATGAAGGAGATCATGGCAAAGAAAAGCTGGCTGCCCAAAAGCTGGCCCCAGAACTGCAGAGCCATCCACATGAGACCCGGGTACATTCCTCAGCCTTCAGTGAAATATCATCCCTGAAAAAACGAGTGTGCTCTGAAATTTTATGAGACATCTACTCAGTTCATCTTGTACTAGGTTCTTTGATCTCATGTTTTAACTTACAGTTCCCAAAGACTTTTGTAACATTTCTTTCCAAATTAGGCAAGCAAAAGGTAACTCCTGTGTTGGGTTCATTTGGAGAACAGTTTTTATCGCTAATTTGATTTTGAGATAATGACAAATACACATGTGAATAATTTTTAGGTCATAAATATGTTTGTGTTTCAAGATGTAAATTGGGTTTTGATGTCTTGTTTTTTCCCAGAGGCACCGTGGTCTCCTGGTTGGGGTTGGTGTCCGGTTGTTCAGTGCATTTGCAGTGTTCTCGCTCTGATTTTCAGGTTGACTTTGATCAACTTCAGGATAATTTATGTCAGATGGAGAGAAGATGCAAAGCTTCATGGGATCACCTCAAGGCAATTGCAAAACACGAAATGAAACCAGTTTTAAAACAGCGAATGTCAGAGTTCCTAAAAGACTGTGCAGAGCGAATTATAATTTTAAAGATTGTCCACAGAAGGATAATTAACAGGTAGGTGTATTGAGGAACTTACAAAAAAAGAAATCACTACACTACCATGTTAAAAATATTCTGCCAACCAGGATCTGAAGGTTAGACTTATAAAAATGTTACTGTACATTCTTGGTACACAGTACATCACAAAGTGTACCTATGATAAACAGCTTCATGGATACCTAGTTGTATGTATGACAGCTTTGTGGATGACAGATGTCTGACAGCTTTGTGGATACCTAATTTTTCATGCATAATAATATATTGAATGTTGAAGGTGGAAGGAATGTCAGATAATTTCATCCAAAAATCTCACTTGATCAGAAATCGCTTCTGTAAAACCTGTCAAATTGTATGCTGCCTCTCTGCAGTTGCTTGACAGTTCTACCTCCAGGGAACCTGTTCCCTTGCATGGCAGCTCTACTTGTTAGAAAAGTTCTTCCTTTATCTGATCTACTGTCTGCCCTCTGAGGACCTTCCAGTTGTGGATTCTCCAGTGGCTGCTCCAATGTCCCAAGTGCCTGAGTGAGGGCTGGGGTCCACCACAAGTGCTCTCTGGACTAGTCTTCCTCTGAATCACTGGATCCAAGAGAACCCTGGAGACATGGCAGTGATGGGTCAGGCCTGGCTTTTACCCACAGGGAGGTTGGCTGGGCATAACATGGCTCCATGTCTGTCCAGGCCTGTTCTTCCAGCAAGTAGCTAGCTGCCCAGGACTAGAATGCAGGTCCTTTAACTTCCCAGGCCAGGGCATTTCCTGCCATAGGCCCCCACTTGCTTCTCCTTTGCTTCATCACAGGAAATGGTTGTGGGACCCTCAGCCTCCATCCTTCCCTTTTCCCCTTCTTATTTTCGTTCAACCCTCGTAGGACTTTGAATACCCTGAGTCTCTCATCTGAACATGAGCTTCCTCCAGCTTGTATCATTTGCTGGGTCTTGAGGCAGACGGTTGAGGGGGGTAGTTTTAAAAATGTTGGACAGGAAAGAAAGAAACTTCCCTCTAGGTCGAAAGCCATCTAGTAATCAGTACTTTTGGAATTTATTTGTTCAACTATAAACCCCTTTAACTGTACTTCATCCAGACTTTCCAGTTGCTCTCTGGATTGGGGGATCTTATGAAAGATTTTGTCAAATTTCTTACTAAAATTAAAATACATTATGCTTTTATCATGGTTAAAAAGGGGAGACAGGGAATGAGAGCTGGTTTGACCTTCATGCTTTGTATGTTGCAAGCAATTGCCAGCTTAAAGGAAAAAAAAAAAACTATGAAAATAAATTATTTCCATTTGGAATATCATGAAACTGGAACAACTTTATAAAAGTCTTACAAAGTTATTATGCTTAGTTTTATTAACCATTTTATCCAAGATAAGCACTCATTTTAATAACGAGTGTATTCCTTGTGAGATGTTTGCTTTAATTGTTCCATCTAAGCTGGTCGCTTGGATGGTGGTTGCTCCCGCCTGACTCAGATTCCTGTCTTCTGGCTGTCAGCCCATCCCACTGGGAGTGACCAGGATGGGCCAGAAATTCACTAGAATTATGGTGGGTAGTAAAAGGAGTGTGGCTAAAAGGGGTACCAGGTGGTAACAAGTTCAAAACACCTAAACCACAGAACCCTGGGTTCAAATGAAGGCTTTATCAGGAGCCCCTGCATATAGAACTGATTAAGGTAGGAATTTCTAGAGATGGATGACTGAGAGCCCAGTTGCTTTGCTTCACTTTTCCCTCTAGCATTTCCCAGGAGATGAAGTACTCACCCAGCTGTGAGCGTGATTCATGTGGCTCTCTGCTCTAGACAGCAAACAGCTGGTACTAGATGGCTTGTCAGGCCTATGGGCCTCCCCAGTGGAGTGGCCTCCTCAACCTTCCTGCAGACTGTTAGCTCCTCAGCTGTGTGTCCCTCCAGGTGTCCTACATGCTGCACAGGGGCCTGAGGCCCTGGGATGAGCTTCTTCAAGGAATAAGCAGGGGTCCAGTATGGCTGGAGTCATGAGAGAGGAAGCCAGAGAAGTAAGGGGGCCAGTCAGGCAGGGCCTCGTGTGGATTTCCATTTTGTTTACTCATTCATCTGTTGATGAGCATCACTATAGTCTTTTCCCACTTTCTAGCTATTAGGAATAGCGTTGCTATGAACATTGGTGTGGAAGGTCTTATGTGTACACATTTTCATTTCTTATGGGTATATGCACAGAGGTCCTATGGTAGGTCTATGTTTACCTGCGAAACTGCTGGACTGTTTTCTATGGCAGCTCTGTCTTTGTATGTCCCCACCAGTACTGTAAGAGAATTCCAGTTTTCTCACTCTTCCAGTGCTGCTGCTTGCTTTTTGATTACAGCCATCTTAGGAGGGTGTGAAGTAGTACTTCCTTGTGGTTTTAATTTGCATTCCTCTATTGGTTAATAATGAACATCTTTTTATGTGCTTCTTGGCTATTTGCATATCATTTTAGGAGAAATGTCTATTCAAATCCTTTGTTTATCTTTTTGGCATTGAGTTGTAAGCTTTGTTTATTCTGCTCACAACTTCCTTTTCCCACATATGATTTGCAAATATTTGCTCATGTTCTGAAGGTTCTCCTCACTCTCAATGATAACCTTTGTAGCAAAAAAGTTTTTAATTTTGATAAGTTTCAGTTTATTTTGCCATTAGTTGTTTATGCTTTTGTTATAATCTTTTTGAAAAAATTGTCTAATCCAAGGTCAAAAAGATTTATACTTTGTTATTGTTGAGTTTTATGCTAGTGTTTTTTGCTAGTGTTTTTTTGAGTCTCCTTGATTTTAAATACAAGTTGTGTTTGTCACAGGAAAGAATAAATTAATGTCTCTCATTAGGGGAAAACATTTAAGGGAGGCAAATTGCAGTGATCAAAAGCAAAAGTTTTGTCTACAAATAGTGATATTTATGTAGTACTATTTGTTTCGCATAGATTTGTTTTTATCTTTGTTCTCATTTCCTGATAACTGAAACTTTACAAATTTTAAACAAAATTAATTTTTAGTTTATAAATTAAATAGCTGAAATAAATTAATTTTGTTCTGTTTATTTGTTTCCTAGCTAAATTACAGTTCTATGTAATATTGTAAGAAGATATTTCAAAATATTTACTCAGGAAAAACTTTATAAACACCAATTAGAAACTATAAATTAACATGTTCATGTCTACTCCAAGTATTCATTAAAGGAATTGCTTTTTTTTTCTCCCTTTGCCTTTTTATACAGGAATTTCTAAGCAATATTTCTTTATTCTTATCCAATTCTTGTATAATGTAGAAACTATGCACTATTTTCCTTAATACTTTACCAGTTTTCTTAGGAAGATTTACATATCCATTAGAAACTGTTGAAATTTAGATATGCAAGAAGTAATTAATTCCTTGAAGTCTTACCACCTAGACATAACCTCCATGGATGAGAAAATGAATTGAACTTGACTTCGTTTGCATTTTTACTTGAGAAGACTCTTGAAACTCAGAGCCTCAGGAGTGAAGGATGGTGGCCTCTCACTGAGAACTTGGCTCATTGGTTTCTTATGGAAAGATTTTGGATCAGTAATTTGGGTTTCTTAAAACTAAAGTTGCCATTTCTGTTTTTCCTTGCAGATTCCACTCCTTTTTGCTCTTTATGGGCCATCCACCTTATGCAATTCGGGAAGTGAACATAAACAAGTTCTGCAGGATCATTAGTGAATTTGCACTAGAGTATCGCACTACCAGGGAGAGGGTTTTGCAGCAGAAACAGAAACGGGCCAACCACAGAGAGAGAAATAAGACCAGAGGGAAGATGATCACTGATGTAAGTTTCATGAACTCTCTTTAGGTCACTTATTTTGAAAGATCAACCATCAATCCTCCCCAGAGTTTGGGAGTTGTGCTTCCCCCATTGCCATTATGGGGTGTGTGTGTGTGTGGGGGGGGGGGAATATTGTCTCTTCTTAAAAATGCTCTCCAACTGTTCCTCTACCATTTCTGTCGGAATCTTCTGTGTAACAAATGAGGCCTATTAAGGTTGGGAGGCTGGAGGAGAAATGCATAACCCGTCTTTGTATGTTGTGTGATGCTGGTGACATTTAGATGCTTGATTAAAATTGGAGGAGAAAAACATCAGAGGTAATACCACTTATCTAGAGGAAGACAGATGTGTTGATTTGGAATTGATTCAGGATCTTAGTCATTGTTACAATGTTATATAACCAGTCGGTTGACTACCATTTGGGGCATATGAATAGAGAAACTGATGTGGTTGCTCTAAGACGTAATGTGACGGTCCCTCTTCAGTCCCTTGAGTTACAGAATATCAGGGTGAAAAGATACCAGAGGACAGTGGATCCAGCATAAGTTTCCCTATGGTGCTGTGGGGTGCCCCTGGCCACTTGTATGTCTCCCCATTCCTGAACTCTTTATCTTCACCACCTCAGCCTTGAGCCTATGCAGGCCTCGGGTACAGTGGGCATGTAGATGGGACATGCTCCATAGGCACAGGGTGGAGGGACCCACTAGCCAGAGAACAAAGATAAGCAGGTCCTTCTTTCTTATGTCTCTTCATGAAACATGCACACCTCATCTATTATTTGGTAAGCTGTAAGTCCAGTTTCAGGGGAAAGGAAAAAGTTATGTGGGAATTCTTTTCCTTACCATTTATTTTTTCTTGGACAAACTCAGGAAGAATAAAGTCAATTTTCTTTTAATACTGACAGATCGTACTTGGGACCTGTTGAAGGTGTGTTTGGATTTTTTGGTTTGTTTTGATGTTTGGATTGGTACCCATGAACTTCTCCCACTTGTGCTTGTTTGAGCCACACAAGATCTCCAGTGATACAGGGAATGGAATGAGTACAGGAATAAGTCACAGGGATTGCCATTATCAGGGGAGGGGAGGTGGAAATCTCAGCTGAACTCAAAGTAGGCAGATTTCTTTGGGGGTGGGAAGTTCATTCAGAAGACTTCAAGGAGCCTGCCTTCTCTGCCCGGAGGCATGCTCATGTTGTAGGCAAAACAAAGGGAACATGGTTACTGCTGTCTAAGAGTCCACATTCCTGAGAGGTCTTGACTTCACATGGAAATCCAGATTCCATAACCAAGAAATTTTACTGTAGTTTTAAGACAGTTCTAAGTAGAACCATGGACTAATCAATCCTTTTAATCCCCTACCTCTCCCTAAGTTCCTTATTTCCTTGGAACTTTCTGGACCCCGAGGGAGCACCAAGCCACTTTTTTGCAGAAGGACCCCTTTCTATAGCCCCTGGCGGTTCTAATTGCCAGGACTATGAGCTCTATCATTTGTCTTCTGAAACCTGGGTTCAGCAGAATCTTTAGCCTTCTGGAGGATTCAGGAAGCAAACTGAATGTGTTTGGGAAAAATACAGCCCACATTTCATTCCTAAGTATTATTTTTAAAACTTTCAAAAAGGAATAACTTATTTTTCTGGAAATGAGACACATTGAAGGGCAAAAGACACAGCCCAGCGTGCTTATAATTATGAAAACACATCAGCATTTCTTGCCAAATTCTTGAGGTTTTTTAACAGATCCCACTAATTGTTAAAATTCCGTCCTCTGAGAATATTTGGCTTTCTCAGCTATAAACAGAGGTAATTGTTTCTAGAGTTTGGTCTAAACATATTTAAATTACCATTAAAATCTAGAGACAATCATTGTTCCCCTTTTATAGGAAACTATCATCCCCCTCTGTAGAAGAGGAAGTCACGTTGAGAGAGGCTAAGGGGTGCACCATGAAGTCCTGGGATTTACCAGCCTGGATTCTCACATTTTATTTGGGCTTTTGTTTGGTGGATTTTGGCGGTTCTGGGGATTGGACCCAGGGCCTCACACATGCTAGGCAAACACTATACCACCAAGCTACATCCCCGACCCTATTTGTTTGAATTATAACAGCAGCAGGAAGGGCTTCAGTGCTCATTCCCATCCTAATCCTTGTTTTTATAGGTCAAAGTAGCATCATTCATGTGGGAAGGCTGCCATCTGCTGGAACACTGGGGTATTGTCACCAAGGCAAAACAAAATCTCTAGTTTTCCCTGTGCTTGTTTAAGAAATGCCCTGCGCTGCGGTGGGCACCAAGGAAGATGTGCGTAATGAAAGACAAGATCACACCCAAGTACATCATAGTATGATTAGAAAATGACACACAACTGAAACCACTGAGTCAGAGGCTGGGCAATGGATTCAGAATCAAGGGCCCCCGAACATCATTAGCTAGAAGTTCATCACTTTTAATATAGATGCTGAATAAAATTGAGGGTGGAAATGGTTGCAGTTAAATTAAGATAAGTCTGAGGGTAAAGTCTGAAGACTGCTTTCATCGACTCGGCCCCGTGTCAGCTCTGGAGTGCTGTCCCTCCTGTGCCCTCTCTGCTCATAGGCATGTAACAGGTCTTTTTTCAGGATCCAGAGGTTCCCCCCAGGCAAGGCTCAGCGAGAAACTTACTCCTTATCTTTCTATCCCAAGCTGTTCTAGACCAATGGTGGCATAGGCAAGGGAAAACTAGGCAGCTATGGCCCTTTTTACTGCTGGCATAATCCAAATAAGTCGTGAAGTAAGCCTCTTTCAACCCCAATAGTTTCTTGTATTGAAGTGGAGTGAGGGTTGGTGTTAGAGATTCTGTATGTGTAGCATTCTGCACATGTGCTGGCTGCTGAAAACAATGCCAGTCATCCTGGTTAAAAATGTCATAAGACAAAAGAGACAGTGGAGCAGGACCATCGTCTCTTGTCATAATGCCTTTGGTGGGGCAGGGCAGGATGTGATATACTGGAGACTTTCAAAAGTGCAGTCAGTTCCCATGAAACTTGTATCTGATTTGCTGGCATGGTCTATAACCTTGGTGGAAGCTCTCAAAAATTGAAGTTGTGCTTAATTTAAATCAAGAGACTTAATAGGATTTTTTACCCCCAATATATATCTAGAAAAGTGACCCTTCACTTGAAGTCAAGTTTATCTACTGGTAAATTAATTGAAAGTACAGGGTCAATTAAGAATGGCCACCATGAGGGACAGGTGAGGTTGTATACAGAGCTTAAACTTCATGTGTCTGAGGAGAGAGTAATATGACCCATTCTGCCCAGAAATTGTTCAGCTTGTCCTTTCTGACCTATACATGGAAGAATCATTGTTCCCAGGCCCACTGGCCTGGGCAGGAAGGTTTCTACACTTCAGATGAGAGGTGGCCAGCTGCTGATGGGCAGAGCCAGGTAAATTAAGGTCAGTCCACTTACACCCTGATGACCAGCTGGTGGTGATGCCTCAGTAGAATATGACCACCAAAGTCAGCTGTGGTACATGCCTTTAATCCCACAACTCGGGAGGCTGAGCAGGAAGGTCACCAGTTCAAGGCCAGTCTGAGCAATTTAGCCAGGACCCTCTCTCAAAAATACAAAAGGATAGGGGATATATTTCTCAGTGGTAAAGCATCCCTGTGTTCAGTCCCCAGTACTGGGGGTGGGGAGAAATGTGGCCATGAAGTAAATAGCAGGGCACAGAGCAGAAAGTAAGGTCAGGAGACTCTCTGGAAACAGCTTGTCTTTACTGAACAAGTATCCAGATGAGGACAAGGAGAGCAGGGCCTACCAGCTCCCAGTTCAAGAGGGTGTACCCTGGTTATGGTGGCCAGTTTTTTTTTTTGTTGTTGTTGTTGTTTTTTGTTTTAATGTAATGTGACTTTAAGATAATCTCATCTTTGACTTCTGTGCCATCTAAGAATCCTTCTATTTTTTCTGTCCTGTCCTGTCCTGTCGGGTAGACTGATGACGAGGATGAAGTTGAGGTATGACCATTTATAAACGTGAAGAATACCACATTTGACCTTTCATGTGTGCCGTAAAGTCTAACCTAACATAATCAGCATGAGATGTCAGCACCATTTTGTGCTTTAAACCATGCATGGGCATTTTCTGGTTGGTTTTCATTTGACCACTAACCATCTGATGAATTCTTGTCATGCTGTGTACTAGGAAGTGAGGGGGTTGACTCCATCTTCCATCTGTCCCAGAGTCCAGGCTAATCAGTAGCCTTGTCACTAATGGTGGGTTCAGGGGATCTTTCCCTACTGCTAGAAAACTGAACGAAGAATTTTACCTTCAGCCACCTTTGTGAGTTTTTTGGCAACTCAAGTATGAGAACCAGACTCTAGAATAACTTACATAAAGAATCCTAAGAGGAAGTGAGGCAGTGGCCACGTGCCACACCAGAGCCTCTATATCACCAGCTCTTGGGCAGCCTCTGCTGTTTGCCCATTTCCTTGACTGGCCCCTGTGGCGTTGATGTGTGTGCAGAAGCAGGGGCTGCTTCCCCTGAAACTGGGTTCTGCTTCAGAGACCAAACTGGGCCTCATTGACCCTGGAAAATGAGGATGGAGCAATGTAGATGGTACAAAGCCCCAGATGTGTCCCAGACTCCTGGCTGTGGCTGAGACACTGGTTGAAAAGAGGAAGCCAGGAAACTGTGAAGCTTGTCTTTGCAGATGTTAATCTGACTTTTTGTTCTTCACCAGATGTTTGGCCTTGTATATACACAGTACTCTAGCATTGCCTCTTTAAAATATATATGATCTGCCTTTTTGTTCAGGTAAACTTAGAGGAAATCATTGTAAGTTTGAATTGCTTATTAAAATAATTAAATTCTTGCCAGGTGTGGTGGTGCATGCTTGTGATCCCAGTGACCCAGGAGGCTGAGGCAGAAGAATGGCAAGTTTGAGGCCAACCTCAGCAATGTAGCAGAGTCCTATCTCAAAAAAAAAGGACTGGGGATATAGCTCAGTGATAAAGCACCCCTGGGTTCAATCCCCAGTACTGATAGAACTAAATTTTTTCATAATCAAAAGTAGTGTTGCCAAATTGTTTCAGCTTGAATTTACTTGTCATGTTCTGTACTATACCCTGACACTAACCCACATGGGGCCTTTGCAGGCCATGTTTCCATGAAGGGCCTCATTTTCCTTTACGATGAAGTGATCTAGATTCAGAAGAACCCTCCCCAACTCTTAACGTGCCATGATCGAATCCCACTTTTGCAATTCTCTCATCATAACCAATATTTATGAGAAATTTGCCTGCATTCTAGTTTTAAAGTTTAAAAATAAAGCTGAGTACATTTGATTAAGAAGGTACGTTTCAGTTCTCACATCAAGGCTTCAGTTTGTTTTCCTTAGCTCTTTCCAGTTGCTCCGTCACTCCTAGTGGACGACTACTGGGGAGTCTGAGCCCAGAGAGAGCCACTCCAGTGGATGATGTATGGGTGGACTTCCTTCTGGGGCCGGTGGCTTCTTTTTCTAATAATTCATCTTTTGTAGACAGATGTCAATTGAGGGAAAACTATGGTCCCATTTGCTGGCAGAGCAGAGTTCTCAGTCTTTGTGACCACGCTCCCTCTGCTTAGTGCCACCTCTGCCCATATGGCAGGATTCCCAGGCCGGGAGTGCAGTGAGTCTACAGTATCCCTGGAGTTAAGTGGCCCAGTTGTTTTGTCATTAGCTGACAACCTCAGTGACAGATGTTTTGTCATTAGTTGATAACCTCAGTGACTGTCGGAACTTATGGGTCTACAGAATGCATACAAAACCAGAAAAGATAGTTTCCCTCAATGAAACATTTTCTAAGCTTGATTTGGCTTCCTGGGGAGTCTTCCTCATGTCCTAACACCCCTTTGGTTTTTGCAGACTGGCAAGCTCTCTGGCAGTTGTCCGGTACCACCCAGCCAGCCGCAGGGTCTGAGCTATGCCGAGGATGCAGCTGAACATGAGAACATGAAGGCCGTACTGAAAACCACCTCCCCTGCCATGGAGGATGCCACGCCCGTGCTGGGCATCCGCACACGCAGCCGGGCAAGCAGAGGTGAGCCCTGGTGGGTGGGGCATGTCGTCTTGGGTTGGCCACCTTGGGGAGTCAAGTCTCCACTACAGGATACAGATCACTGTGCCCAGTGTATGGCCACAAAGGGCCATCAACCTTCCTGAATTGTTGGGACCAACTTAAGCACACACCTTCCTTTACCGCTCACCTCCAATGGCTGTGTCTCAAAACCAAACAACACTCCCCAAGAGACACATTTATGAACACAGAATTTATTATAAGTGAATCCTCATGAGCTAAAGCTGAGCTCAGCAGTCTGCATCCTGAGAGCCAAATTTGGTCTGCCTCCTATTTTTGTAAATAGTTTTATTAGAACACAGCCATGTTTTGTGTATGGTCTGTGGCTGCTTTGCACCATAACGGCAGAGTTAAGCCATTGTGACAGACTCTAGGCTCTGCAGCCCAAAAGAGTGACTATAGAAAAAGCTTCCCAACCCCTGGTGTAAAACACTACCCTTTGTGCCTTTTTTTACATCCTTAGTAAAACGGACAAAACTAAAAGTTCAAGATGATAAAGACTTTGGCATTTCCAGGTTTTAATTATAACAGATTTTTTCTTTTAATTTTAAGAATTAAGGATCTGTGTGCAGTGGCACTTGCCTATAATCCTAGGAGCCTGGGAAGCTAGTGCAGGACGATCATGAGCTCAAAGCCAGCCTCAGCAATGGCGAGGCACTAAGCACAACTCAGTGAGACACTATCTCTAACTAAAATACAAAATAGGGCTGGGGATGTCACTGAGTGGTCGAGTGCCCTTGAGTTCAATCCCTGGTACCAAAAAAAAAAAGCATTCATGCTTCTCTGGATTAATCTGATATCATGTTAGTCCTCCTAAATTCTCTGCTATAGGTTAAAATCCATACCACATACACTGACCTATGAGGCCCCTGTAATCTGGGCTTATTTTCCAAATTTGGCTTTCATTCATTTCCATGTTGTTGGCTCCGCCCTTCTCTAAATACCCTACATATCTCTGAGTGTCCCCTGTTGTTCATGCTGTTCTCTCAGCTTGGAATGCCCTTCAGTCTGGCTGCTCCAGTTTCTGTTCACCTTCAGACACTATTTGCAGGCCCTGTCCAAACCCCATCTCTTCAATGCACTCCTGAGGTCCCTGTTTAGGCTTCCTAAAGAGGATAAGCTTTAAAGGGAATTAACTGCTGGAGATGGTCTGTCTCCTCTTGGTGTTTACTTAGCACATGCTATGCACATGGCTAGAAGAAACCATAGAGTTTTGTCTGAACAGAATGCTTTGGAGTTTAAAAGAGGATGCTGGTAATAATTATGCTGGTACAATAAATACAACTGAATATGCCAGGTAAGCTGGGCTGAGGGCTAGCTTATTACAGAAACTTGGTCATGCATGCAGTGCCTACCAAACATCTTCTAAGACTCTGATAAGCCTTCAGGCCTCCAGGAGTACAGGAAGAAGCAGCTAGAATCCAGGGGGCCATGCTCTAAGAGCCCCCAAGAAGGTTCACCAGTGACTTCCAGTTGATTTACTCACTGATCATGCTTTCTAGAGTCTTGCTGTTGTCAACTTTTTTAAAAATGTAAAAGTAATTATAGCAGCAATAACTTCAACAGGAAAGGAAAACGTAAATGCTGCTGCTAGTTTTCTCAGAGAAGGTGTGTTCCCATCACATAATTCATATGGCTTTTTGAGGTTTCCTGAGAACCAGAGAGCCACAAATCCTCCAGAGAGAATCTTGAAAGATGTGCACAGGTTGTGTTCTAGAACCTTCAGAGTTTTGTGGATTTGTACTTCAGGATTTTTAACAAAGTTACTGGTTGGTTTGTTTACTTCATGTGAATACAGTAGATTCTAATTCCCCTTTCTTCCTTCATGTGGGACTTTGGTCTTTACCCTGTAATAGGACCTTTACTTTCATGTTTAGCTGAATATGCTAGAAGGAAGGTAGCCTCCATCCATCTTTGCCTCAGTGTTGCACCGAGACACAGGTGACAGTAGAAAAGTCACATCTCTTACTACAACCTTGATCCTAAGCTGTACCCTCAATATTTGCATATATATTACATCAAACAATCAAAGATTAGGGTCCTCGAAATTTGATCTGTCCAAATTCTTTGACTACTGAGTAGTTTTAAGATGTGGAATTAGGAGAAGAAAATAAATTAACATATTTTGGCAATGAAAATGCAGACTATAGTGACCAACTTCAGAAAGATGCAGCTCAGGAGAACACAGCCTTGAGCATGACATCATGCATTCTGATGTCTGGTTTGAGACAAGGCCTCCATTCTAAGATAGGACAGAGAGCGCCCATGTAGAAACAAAGAAGAAAAAGTAGGGCAAGTCAGAAAGTGAAGAAAATACTATCATTAAATGCTGAGCAGTAGAAACTCAATCCGGAAGAATCACAAAATAAAAATAAACTTATGGTTCTACAGAATGCATAAGTTGTTGAGGCGAGGGGATTCACTTGCTCCCTGTGGTACCCAAAGGCCTCACACATCCTGGGTGAGTCTGTGCCTGGCAGCTTTCACAGGCTTAGTGCCCTGGGCTCAGTGGGGCCAGCAGGAAGGTGCAGGAAGTCATTAGTGTAGGCACCATGTGACCCCAGCCATCAGGCCAGAGCCTTGAGCCTCTGTACCTTGGTGGATGCCAGAATGGTGCAATGGAGTCCATCCTGGGAGGAGGAGTCAGGTAATAGAACATAAATAGGCTGTTGATGTCTCTTCCCAACCAGAAGAAACCAAGAGAAAAACTAGTGCCAGATTTCTTCAGTATGGGTTCATTTTCGCTGACAGGTGAAAGGGCTTAGAGAGGGAGCCTTTTTAGTTTGTCTTCACATTCACTCCTCTCTAAAGAGACTTCTGCTTCCAGGCAGCATGCAGTAAGGAGTGGCAAGCCACCACTCCTGCTACCATGGCTAGAATTTTAAAAAATATATAACAAGTTAGAAATCCCTCTTTTAAAAGACACTGTGGAACTATGTGATGAAAGAAGACTTGAGAAAGCAGAATTTTGGACAAGCTGAGATTACTCCTCTGGGAGCATTTGCGGAATTTGGGCACAGGCTAAGAACCAGGCTCACCATGGGTGGAATGACTCCAACAGCAAAGATAAAACAGTAGAACTCATACTAGCCAGGTGGAGCTGGCATAGAGATTAGAATTGAGGAGCACCGAGTACAGGGGATTTACTCCATAAGACATTGGCTAAGTGTATCACTGAGCGGGCAGGGAGTGGGTGGGGGCCCTGGGCCAGAAAGGCTGCCAGCGACCTGCCGTTTCCAAGCACTGGGGATAACACACATGGCAGAGCAAGCACACAGCTCTCATCCTCAAGATACCTAGAGAGAAAGGTGGACTAATTTCTTAGCTAAAACTGCCATTTAGCCTCAAGCTAGCTCAGGACCTTGTCACATCTATTAACAGAAGAAAAGGAGGAGACTCTAGAGAAAAGTAACATTGATCTCAATCACTGAAACTATAAAATATCTGAAATAAGGACCTAGTGGATAGGTTCAATAGCAGTTTCCAGCAAGAAGAGACGGATAATAGAAAGTGTACAAATTGAAGCATGGTAAGAAAGAAGAACAAAGTGTGAGATGTCTGGGACACACTTAAATATCTAATGTGTCATTGGAGTACCAGAAGGAGACAAGGGATAAGAAGAAATGTTTGATAATAATTGAAGGCTGGGGTTATGGCTCAGCGGAAGAGCACTCGACTAGCATGTGCAAGGCCCTGGGTTCAATCCTCAGCACCCCATAAAAATAAACCATAATAAAGAAAAGGTATTGTGTCCAACTGCAACTAAAAAATATATATATCAAAAATAATAGCTAAGAACTCCTCCAATTGATGATAGGTGTTAACTCAAATATTTAAGAAACTTAGCAAGTCCAAGCAGAATAAATAGAGCCATGTCATAGGCAAACTGCCAAAAAACAAAGAAAGATAAAATCTTTATAACACAGGAAAGATGCATTCCCTTCCAAGGACCAGGATCAGGAAGTATGGCTCACTCTTCAAAAAAAAAAAAAAAACCCAGAAAAAAAAGACATTTTTAAACTGCCAGAAGAAAAAGCTTATAACCTAGCAGTCTATCTCCAGGGAAATTGTCTTTCAGTGATGAAGGCAAACATTTTTTATATTACAATAATATTAATATCTACTTTGGTATAATTTCTTTCCTGTATACTGTTTAGATTTCTAAAAGGAAAAAAAAATACAGTATTTTTCTTTCAAGCTATAATTTCCATATCTTTAAAAATGAAGCCAAAGTGAAATGGTATTATGCTATTATAGTCTAGAATGTTCTATCCCCTCCATGACATCTCAGTATACATAAATGACTTGCCAACACTTGGACAACTGAGATGAGACACATTGGCTCCCAGGGTATGGGAAGAAGTGTGGGCAGTATTCCTCTGATGGCTACCTGTGGGTACCAAGTTTCTACCTAGAGAAAAACATCCATGGCCAGAAAGAATGAGAACAACTGGAGTTCAGGCAGTGAGGACAATAACCAAGCAGAGAGGAGATTAAAAGTAAAACCAGGAATGAGGTCGCAGGAGGGAATGAAGTCATCACAAAACTGAGGTTTGACAATTCTGGACCCATGGCAAGATGTTCCATTTGATCCTCTCTGACAATTGCATTGGAAGCAGATCCCTGGGGATGTGTAAAATGGAGATGGGAAACATTGGTAATTCTCAGAGGGAAAATTAGAGGGTGCCTTCATTTCTGGCCCAGTGCTCTGAAAATGTCTTATGGGTAATAAACATAATTGATTGAGCTTTGTGTGTATTTTTGGAAGGGTAGTTTGACATTTCAAGATAAGACTCAGAATTATAAATCAATAGGCAAAAGGGAAAATAGGAAATTGCTAGGCAAAACAGTTGTGCTATTTGATTGCTCTACTTCAAGGAGGGCCATTGTCACACAGGCTCTATAGTCCTGGTCTGAAAGCTGTGCCATCGTGAGTCCTGCCACCTGCAGTTACAACACTTAAA